TTACATCTGGTCCTCTCAATCTGTCCACTCTCTGCTCTCTGGATGCTTTTTGCGTTGACTTTTATTTGAGACCATTAGTTTTGTCTGCTATTGTTTCCTAGTATCAATTCAATAATATTTGATCTTTCAGGTATTTTTCATTGTAGCAGAAAGTACCCCCTGGAAAATGGGCATTCTAGGTAAGTATTCTGTCACTACATTCTCTTCCCCTCATTCCTTTACTAAAGGTTCCAATATATCATAGAATGTTTTCTCGCTTGTGGGACGATTGAAGTAACTATCAATTAAATTTATTTCAATTTACTTGTTTAGTAGTTCTAAAATGTAAATCATTCTTTGCCTTCTTTTTTACTAACTTCTTGTCTTCAGTGATCTTTCCTGCATCTGCACATCTGGTAAAATTTTTGTTAAGATTTATTTTCATTTATGGGTATGCTCCTGTGTTTGTGTGTATATACATGAGTGTGGGCACCTATGAAGTCCAGAAGAGGGCATCAGATTCCCTGGAGCTGGAGTTACAGGCAGTTGCGAGGTGAAAAATGTAGGTAATGGAAGCCAATCTTGGATCTTCTGGAAGAGAAGAAAGTGCCCTTAACCTCCAGGCCAGTAGAGCGGGCTATGTTTATAGAGATTCTAGATTCTAGATTCTTTTTCTTGTGAACTTTCAGAGTTGTAGTCTAGTCTGTGGTGAAATCATTGGCAACAACTGTAACCTTCCAAAGACTTCCTAGTCCAGACATCTTTAGATGTATCTATCTCCTTCTTACCCTTTCTCCTTGACAGGCATCCACACATCTAGGAAGTTTCTTTTTCAGGGGTATCTTTAAGTGAATACTCAAGGTGTTCACCAAGGTCTTTTCACATTGGATGAGTCCACATTCTATTGTTTCCTTGAAATGCTTGACTTAAGGGGCCTCCTCACAGATCTCAGCATCTCAACCCTGAGCTCCATCCACCCTCCAGAAACACATGCGTTGGTGCATGCCAAGAGTGCCTACCCATTTAGATCTCAGCCACCTTGCCAACTGCCAGCCCTCTGGTTGTGTGTCTTCTGCCCAGAAAATCTGCTGTTTCTGATGGACTTTCCACCTCTCTGTACTTTTTTTATTTAAAAAAATATATTTCATAAAGAAAAATGAATGACAACATTCTGTTGGCTGTGTTTTATGTCTAAAGGTATTATTCTGGATTGTTTTCCCAGAGTTTATAGTTATTTTTACAGCAGAAAGGTAAGTGTACGATTCGCTATTTTTCTTATTTATAAACCAGAGAGTTCCCTTTAGTAACTGAATGAATCTTACAATTTTCTTGTATTGGTTTTGTTTTAGACAACAAATATCTAAGATGTATTTAATGTGTGCAGAATATCGAAATGTATTCCAGCCCCATTTTATCTGCCTTGTTTCAGATCAGCATTTAAGGATAAACATTCATGGGTGTCTTGGGTTTTGATGGGTTACAAATTAGCAATTGACCTTGATTCAATTTATCTTCAATTCCAGTAAATATACTTTACATATTTCTCTGAAATGCCACTTCAACAGTGGGTCTTCTGAACAATAAGTAATCAAACTTGGAAACAAACTCCTTACTTTAATCAAATTTAATCTGTTCAGCAAGAAACTCAGGGCATTTCTACCTGAACTGTTAGTCTGTAGTTTTTTCATCGCAAATATCAAATTTCCATTTCTCTTGTTCATAGAGACACATGGGAAGATTGTTTAGAATCAGGATAAGACACATGTCACTTACGCATGCATGTAAGCAAGAATTAGTTTTACACACAGAGGGAGACAGATAGACAGAAATGGACAGACAGAGACAGAGAGACTGAGATAGAAGCACACACACAGGGAGGGCACAAAATTGAAATAATCTGGTATGATATTTTTTGCTAAATTGTGAATAATTCCTTTCCTCTCCTGCCTAGTCACAGCTGGTTTATTTCATGACTTCTTTGGAAAACTACTCAGGATTTCCCTCAAACAAGAAGACACATGTGGCTGCTTTTTGAAAACCACAATGGACAGAGCCCTGCCTATGGATACACCAAATATTATTGAAGGAAGGCACTTGTTCTCCTACCAGCAAGTGGGCAATGTGACCATGTGAATCTTTGTTCCTCCTCTTACATGTAAATGGAGGCTTTCCTTATCCTTTTATCTTGGCTTTCCCTTGCTTTGGATTAAAGGCCTCTGAGGTTAAAAAGAAAATCAGCAGTTCACATTCAACAGGATATAGTATACTCACAAATGTTAGTTTCTACTCTTATGACTAACCAGTTAATATGCCTTCCATCAATATCTTTGGCACACTGGTTGTGAGACCTTTGCAGATACCAAAATCCAAAAACGTTCAAGACCGTTCCATAAATTTATCACTTACAAATGGCATACATGTCTTCCTCCACATCCTTAAAACCTCTCTGGTTACTTGCAATACTAAGCACAGTGTAAATGCTCTATCGATAGTTACTATACTGTATTGTTCAGAGGATAACAACAAGAAAAAGCCAAGTACATGATCAAAGCAATTCAACTGCTTTTTCCTCGGAGTCTCCTATATCCTAGGTTGGCCTTTTCCTCCTTGTGTAGTCAAAGATGACCTGGAACACCCGATCCTCCTGGCTTCACTTCCCGGAGGTGATGATGGTTATGGGCCACCATGCTTTATGCAGTACTGGGGATCAAACTTAGGATGTCAGGCATGCTCAACAGACACTCCACCAACCAAGCTGCCCCTTCATCCCTGATGTGCTTAACACAAACGGTTTCTAAATGCAGTTTGAAGTTTGAAACTTTGAAACACACATGAAGGCATTGATTGTCAGCAAGGTTTAGTTGTGTCTCCCCCAAAGACTGTTCCTCCCAGAAAAGATGGACTCAAAGGGAATCTTTGTGCTCACCACCCTCTCTAGTCCTTGGTAACTTTTCCACATCCAATCTCTAGCTTTCCTCTTTCCCTTCTAGCTCTAAATAGAATCAAAAGTTATTTTGGTTCTTTTAACACTGTGAAGTTTTGTTTCATATTGTGCCCACCTGCCCTCCTTCACCCTGTTCCTCTCCGCTCCTGCTTGGGTCTCCCTCCTTATTCTTCCTTTGCCCTACTATTTTCAGCCTTACCCATTTCCTTTCTTCCCCACTCCCCCTCTCTGCGATCTTACCTCTTTCCCTCTAGTCTTTCCTTCTTTCCTTTCCCCCTTGCCTCCTTTTTCTAAGAACACTCTTGCATTGGTCCTGTCTTAGGATTTTTTTTCCGTTGTTTATTTGTTTGCTTGCTTGCTTGTTTTTCAGACAGACTCTGTGTATCTATCTAGCCCAAGCTAAATTTGAATTCAGGCCTCTCCTATCTCAGACTGCCAAGTCCTGATGTTACAGGGATGTACTTTTCTAAGAATGTTATATCATCTTTATATGCATTTGGGAAAAGCCACATAGCACTGTGGGGCAGCCTCCTTAGTATCTAGTACTTTGTTATAGCTCTCTACTTTGTCCTTATTTAGTTAGGTGACAGTAGTCTATAGTAAGTAATCCCCTCTCCTCCCAGCTTCACATTCCTCTTGAGTTGTATATGAATTTAAAAGCCTGGCTAGGCTGCCTAGGTGGTTTGCCAGAAATCCCACCACATGGGGGAGAGAAAAAGAACAAGAACAACTCAAGGCAGCCCAGGGAAGAGGAGGACTAGAGAAGCAAGGAAAAGAAAGAGGAAGGAGGGAGGGGGGAGGGAGAGAGGGAAGGAAGGAGGGAGAGAACGCGCACACCTATCTAGGGAGACTATGCGTTTTATTTTTTTTAAGTGTGTGCGCATGCGTATATGCACGTGGACGCGTCCTTTACGGTGTTTTGCTAATTTCTCCTAAAGTGCTTTGCCGGTGTTTTGCTAATTTCTCCTAAAGTGTAAACTTCTGGGGAGCAAAAGCTGAGGCATCCTCTGCTACTTCGCTCTAAACAGACTAAAGAGAGTTTAAACAGATTCTGGCTAAATCTCAAATCCTACACGCACCATACTTTCCTCTCGAGAAAGATTGCCAACCAGGTCCTGTATTTTTGCTCATCTATAAGTTCAACCCAAGAAATCGCATTCTTCATACCCTTCAAAGCAACTGAAGGAAACCCATTCCAAATTCCAACGGGAACACGAAAACTGATCCTGATCAAAGTCCGCCCTTGAAGTACCGGGGCTCAAAATTAAGGAGTACGTGAGGCCATGCTGGGTCGGTGGACGCTCCTTGCCTGGGCTCAATGCCCAGCCTCTAGCGATCCCACCCCAAAGCACCCAGGATCTCCCTCAACCAGCTTCCCTCACCCCTGCCAAGCAGAGAAAGCAGTTAAGTCTGCACTCGGGGAGCAGCAGCAAGGCGCCCGCAGGGCCACTGGGCATGCTCAGAAGTAGAGCAGGTTTGGGGCTCCAGCAGGCGGCTAGTGCGTTATACCGAAAGAAGGAGAAGGCGCTGGAGGAGGAGGAAGGGGAGGAGGACAGGGGCAGCAGTAGCCACGATCGCCACCACCAGGCAGAGAAAGAGTTCGTAGGGAGGGACAGATCTCCTCCCACTTGGAGCGCCTTCTGCCTTCTTTTGGAGAAAAAGAATAGGAGATAAAGAAAAGGAGAGAAAAGGAACGAGAGGGGGAAAGAGAGAGCCAGAGAGTAAGAAAAAAAAATAAAAAATTAAGGCGAGATCAGAGAGGGCTGGGGCGCGCAGGGGCGCGCAGGACCCGGGGGCGGACCAGCAGAGCCCCAGTGCGGTCGCCCGGGCAGGTGCCACGGCTGCTGCCCGGAGGCGGCATGTGACGCGCGGCCGCAGCTGCCCGCGGGCGGAGCGCGCTCGGACCCGGGAGCGCAACGGCGGGCCAGGTCGGCTGCAGCCGAGAGCCCCGCGCTCTCCACCCGCCCGGAGGATCCGCAGCTGCGCTTGCACCCAGAAGCCGGGCAATGCAGAGAAGGGCGGCTCCGGTGCGCGAGCGACCCTGAGGACAGTTGCCGCCACGGAACGCCGTGTTACGAGACGCCGGGGTTCGGTGGAGCTGACCGGACGGTCCAAGAGATTTCCGGAGGCGCGGAAGACCCGCGTGGGACAGCCACCTGGAACGCTGCTGCCAGGTAAGGACACGCGGTGCTCGCCACGGCTCAGGGCAGAACGGCTGGCGGCGACCGCTGACCCGGTTTCTTGCCTTATCTGGTGGTGAAAGAAGGGGGGAAAAGTTTTCCGTGGCCGTAGGAAATGTGTTTGCTGGCGGAGTTTAAAGGAAGGACTGGAGAGGGACGAAGGTGATTTTTGTCTATCTGGGGGGACGGAACCTCGGGATCGATCTGATAAGGAGTTGGAGCGCGGGGACCCTGGGTGGAGAATGCGGAGGTGGCACCTCAGTGGCTGGAAAAGCACGGGTACGGTAGTTCGGTGTCCGAGGGAGCGCCCCGGTCGGCCCACCCAGCTCTCTTGGGCTTCTTTTTCTCTCCCTCGAATGAGGAATCCAAACGAGAAACAGGGGTGGTCCAGAGCGGTGTGAATGTGCGTCTGTGTGTCGCTGGGTCCTGTGTGTGCCTTTTAATCTCGTTTTTTTTAGGAGAGCTAAATCAGACCCCTGCCAACCTCACAGCGAGGGGCGACTGCTGGGGTTGCGTTTATGGAGCAAAGAGGTGATTTTTGCACTCCTAGTGTGTCCTAGGAGAGGGTACTGAGCCAGGGTGCGCGTCTACTCTGGCTTATTCGCGGCAACTAGACTACAGGCGATCTCCTGTGGCGCTCTCTCGCTCCCCGCACAACCTCCTTACAGAGCAGAGCTTGTTCATTTCTACGTGGTTTTAAACCGCTAGGGTTAGGGGGAATGACTGACTCAAGGGGGTTAAAATTCACTTGTCCACTCCACGCTGTGCTGTGCGTGCTGGAACTGTGACTCTGCCCTGCCTGGTTAGACTCTCCTTGCAAGCAGGGTGGAAGTAGGAGGGGAAGCAAGCTTTGGGAACTTGCATCCATATGGACGCATTTTTTAAATGCAGACTTTGATTTTAGTCTAAGTGTTTTCTGAACCTGTCCGAAGTCTGTCAGCATATCTCCCGCTCCCCACCCTCCCGGCCCCATTGATATCGTTGGCCAGGTTGTGTAAGGGTGGCAGACTCTGCTGTTAGGGAGAGTGACCATTTCCCTGTGTGCTTTCAACAGATCTTTCATTTTTCTCTTGGCCTCTGAGATTCAACAAAACTGAGAATGTACCATTTCCCCAAGGCACGCACGCATGCGAACACACACACACCACACACACGGGGGGGGGGCACTTTGCCCCCCCCTTTCTGGATTACTGTTTGAAAACAGAACATAGTCTTAAAACCTGCTTAATAATTACAGAGTCCAGAGGGTTTCATATTAGGAAATCTTTCGTTCTGCAGGAACCATTCAACAGTTTCCTGTGTTTAAAACAATGCTAGTGGATTTGCTGGGAGAGCTCTTACAGGAAGATATACCTTCCAAAAAGGAGAAAGGAGAGCCTAGAATAAATGCACACAGGGCTGCAGGGTGGCAGGGGATGGAGGTGAAAAAGAATGAGGTCTTTCTGCTTCAGTTGCTGTATCCCTGCAGCTCCCTGCTGTGCCAGGTGTTGGGGGGTACACATGTGCAGGGATCATGCTTGCCTTTTCCATGTGTGTTCTCATAGGCCACAGCAGTGCAGTTTGAATCACACATCCACCACTGGATAACTCTGTCTTTAGAATTTTGTCTAAATCTAAACAACGGTTTGTCTCAATTAGCTTAACATGCTGTTAGCTACCATGATGCTGGAAGGCATGTCATTCCTGAAGTGGTTTCCATGGAACATAGAACTGTAACACAGATTACTAAGTTAAAAACAGTGGCCGCAGATCTGATGTGAAACTACTCCCTAGACTGAGGAATGTTGTGAGGTTGAATTAAACATGAAAGGAAGAGTGATGTAAGACTTTTAAAGACAATAGTGAAGCATGGTTCAAATGGGTTCGATAGTTTAGTAAGAAAACGAGGTAAAAGGCAGACCTTTTTAAAGGAACCTGTGAGCGTATGTCTTTTGTCATAGAAAATTATTGTTAGGCAAGAGCATAATCTGAAGGAATAGACTATCTGGAACTGGGTGGGATTTAGACGAAGACTACGTATTACGATAAGAGTAGTTTTGTCTTAGACAGACACAAAAACTTATATAAGAAACTCATAAGCTTTCGGGAAATCTGGGAGGGCCCACTGCTTTTTCCTGCGAGAGGGATGGACAAATTTTGCTTCAGACATATTTGTTTCTGGAGTTTACCGAGCAAGGATAAATATGCTCTTTAAAATGCATCTTTTTCATCTTTCCTTATAAAAATAAATGGCTTATCTTTTACAGAAAAGAAAAACTTGTCATTTTAAGACATAATATATTAGAAGCAAGCTCTTTTTAATCATAGTTTAGTCTTTAATAGCAGGCAACCTGTTGAGCATGCGTTGTGGGGAGGGGGGTAATGGGCATAGCTAGGATTTCTTGAATCCATATTAATAAACGGAATAGAAACTACAAGGTTATGTTCCAAAGCTTTCAGAAGTAAATTTTTTTAGGTCTTCTTTTCTTCTTCTTCGTTTTCTTTTTTTTTTTTAACCTAAAACATCATCTCCTTTCTTGAGCCAACATACTGTTCTTGCCTAATAATGCTGTTAGCCTTGGCAGATTCAGTTGCTTACACCTAAATGGCCTGGACATTGTCACTGTAGCGATGAAGAGGCGGGGTCAGGTTTGCAGTGTGGGGACGTTTACGTGCAAAGCAGCTGCGTTGGCCCTTTACACCAGAGATGAATGAGGAGTTCTACAGAGATGGGGACCCAGCTCCTCTTCGTGTCTGAAACCTAATTTTGCATCACGGTATATTGTGACTAATCCCATTGCATTCTCAGCATGGTTCTGAAGAATGACTAATGGGAAATATTTTCTTTCACAGGGTATGCTTGTGAATTGAAAATATATCTTCCTCACAGAAAAATATTTTAAAAGGCATGTATAGCTCCAACAAAATAATTAACCAGGCCCCTTTACTATTTTTATATTTTAAATGAATTGGCATACACAAATGTGCCCAGTTGTTAAGAGCAGTGTATACATGGTTTCCCAAAATGTGATATTTATGAAAGGCAATGCCAAACTTCTTTTGTCTAGACAGTTCTTTGAGTCTGGTGGAAGTTCTGTTCTGTTTCTTACCCCTTTGGGTTGGACTTTCAAATTCAAAGGCAAGTCTTGGCTTCATGACAGGATCATCTAATTCGTTTAACACTAGGCAAATGCCAGTCAAAGTGGAGGTTAGACTGAGTGTCTGACAGCCTCTGCTCTCTGTTAAGGAAACTGCCTGCGCCTTGGATCAAGCACAAAGCAGACTCCTGACTCCAGATCATTCAGTGTTCCGTGTGGCTCCTCAGCGTGCTCCTTACAGACAGCCTGCAAGAGCCAAAGCTATACCTTTTAGGGACCTAGCTGACTGTTCTCTAAAGTGCTTTGCACTGCTAAATTCCTGGTCAGTGGAGACCTTCATTGACATTGGAAATTGTTGGAAATAAGGAGGCACACAAGCCCTATGTGAAGATTGCAAGCCCTCCCTGAGCTTTTATCTTTGCCTGGTGTATGGGGATGGTCATGTTTGCCCATCCACAACTCAAAACTGGCATAAGGATGGAATCCTACAGAAGCATAATTTTGTTTGGTACATACTCATTCATGTAAGTCCAGATGCGTGGGTTTGTAGTGTCAATGAAAGTATTTGCACGTATTTGCAGCAACCAGAGAACAGCCTCATTCCTCCGGTGCTCTCCACCTGAGCTTTCGATATAGGGTCTCTCATTGGTCTGGGACTCACCAGGTAGACTATGTTGAATGGCCAGCAAGCCCCAGACATCCAGTTATCTATATTTCCTCAGCACTGACTGAGCTGACAAGTGGATGCTGCCATGCCTGACTTTAACAAACAAAAAACTATGGGTTCCGGGGTTCAACTCCAATTCCTCTTACTTGCAAGGCAAGTATTTTACCAATTGAGCTATTATCCCAGCCCCAGAAGTGTCTTTTGAGCAAACTCGGAGGCACTGTGCAGTGGCACAAAATCAGACACCATGACCCCTCAGTAGTCCCGGAGAGAGAACACGAAAAACCACCGTGGGGTGACTGCTAGTTCAACCTTCAGCCACTGTGTGCCTTTTGCCCAGGAGTTTTGGCAGTGTGCACACTCGTCTGGCTGGCTCTCCCTTGCAGTTTGGCAATTTAAATTCTTCCACCTGTTAGAGCTTCCTGTCCCTACCCTCCTGAGACTGGAGGACTCTGGCAGGCAGGCACCTTCTTAACTCTCCTCTCCTACGACTTCAACTTTCACTGACCATGATGACCACCTACAGTACATGCTGAGCTGTTGTCTTCCCCACAAATATCCCATCTCATCCTGAAACCACCCAGAATATGAAAATCTATAGTTAGCCAGCCATACAATTAGACAAGAAAGAAGCCAACAGATGCATGGAGGGGTCCGAGCCCCTGCTGGTCCCCTGTGTTCTGCAAGTGCCTCCATGGCCAGCCAACTTTACTTGTTCTTTAGAAGGATCTGGTCTGAGGTCCATCCGCTTGCTCTAACCCTTGTGGTCTTCAGTGATTCCTTGGGCCCCTAACCCTGAGCTCTTATCTTCCTGCCAGCTCATAGGGCTAAGCTTCTTTTGTGTTTTCAGTTCACCTTTTCCGCACTAGGCTTAATGTTTTGCCTGGAATAACTTTTAGCAATGACCTTGACAGTCCGTTTTGCTCTTGCCAAGACTTCTCTCCAGGAGCAAGACTCCATTCTATTATTTTCAGTCTTCAATTCACCTCCAGGGTAGACAGAACCCTGGACCTAAGGCACAGTCCGAGTCCTGACAGTGTAGCATTCACTTTTGCCTAGAGGCTTGCGTTGCCAAGTTCACCTAACAAATAAAAATGGCCTTGTCTGTCATTGTTGGCAGGATCAAATCTCAGTCCTCCACACCCCTCCTGGCCAGTGTAATTTGAGTTGCTGAGGATCCACTGCCGAATTAATCCTCCATTAGGTCATTTGTTCAGGCCCAGCCTCCGCCTGTTTCCTGCCCCCCGTGT